AAGACACACGACCATCCTAATCTTCCTGACCATTTAATTCACAACCAAATCAGCCCACACCAGATCCTGTTGCTGAACTACGGACGTTCATGGTATTTCACGTCCAAAAGTTTTAACACAGCGGAACTAAACAACATCAAATAAAAAACCAAGTCCCATACACGTTAGATTTGACATTATATCAACAGGACAAAATTAGCGGCACCCTCAGATGGTTCCATGCTGCTCTCACCGACGACACAATACTACAAGCACTTACACGTATATGTGTAAACCGCTGTCTAATGGCTATAACTAGGTTAGGGTTAAGTTAGGAAGTAATTAGGTTAATATACGGGTTATCGTCCTAACTTTGGATGTAAACTCCATAACATAAATGTATCGATCGTTCGTAGAATAGCTATTTCCTGGTTTTTTTTTTTTTTTTTTTTTTTTTTTTTTTTTTTTTTTTTTTTTTTAATAGTTATTTGTGATGTGGAGTTGTAGGGTTAATGATTACTGGGATTTAGGATTCAGTTGACATAGATTTTAAATCGTGTGGGTAAATTAATTAATGAGTTTGATCTGAACACTCTCTATTGCAATAATAAGGTTAGGGTTTAGTTAGGGCTGGGCTTGTATAGACATAGTCTAGTATGGTATGGGTGTAGGTTTGGAATAGTATAGACATGGTCTAGTATGGTATGTGTGTAGGTTTGGAATTGTAACGAAATGGTCAACGGTGGTTCGGGCTAGTAGGGTTAAGGCTTTTTCAGGTTGTTTAGATAGGGCTTCATTGTGTGCTGTAATGTTTGGTTCAAATAGATTGTCTAACAAATGGGTAACGTGATTTAAACGTTTGATCTGCACACTGGAAAACGGCTTTAAGAAGAATATGTTTGTGTCGGGGTTTGCACGTTACTGCAGCATTTTATTAGGCTTATCATTTCTACATTTTTAGATTTAAAGAGGGGGGCTGGGTTGGGCTGACAATAAAATGTAATTTAAAACAGTAGTGTTCAATACATACAATCTTGCTATACACGCAATCTAAAGAAGTAAGACAACTCACAAAATTGGTATTGTAGAATTTTTTGTATTGTTTTATAAATGTAAGATGGGAGGCAACTTGAAAGACCAGTCGTAAGTTGTATTTATTTGGTTATTTCCCCTTTAAAAGAGAAACGTGCCTGACAAAACGAATGGTAATAACATTGTATTTTTATTAAATCGGCAAAATGAAACTCAGTTGTTGTTTTTTTAAAGGTGCATCGCTATAATGTATACACTGCATTTAATATCGCAGAATGAACATAGAATAATTTTATTGTTGTGGGGTTTACATGTTACTGATATGTTTTACTATGTATATATTTTGTAGCATTAATGTTGTCCCACCGACAAACTATGTCGTTAGATACCACAGAAAAAAAATGAAAACAATCTAGAATATTCATAAAACAAGGAAGGTAAGCCTATTTTGAATATTATTAGTACATGAATTAATTGAAGATTAAATTAATACATGACGTCATTTAGGAGTGAGGGTCTGGTCTTTTGTGAGTCATCAAAAAAGCTTGACGTCATTTATGGACGTCCCTTAAATCAGAAGATTTTCCACGTGAACTGGGCACATACAGCTGTACACGTGAACACCGTGTGTCTGTCTTTTATGCATCGCTACAGCTTTCATGCTACCGCAATACAAAGTTGGGAAATTTTTGAGAAAACTCCCGTAAAAATTTCTGTCGAATGTTTGTTTAAAAATATTGGAGTGACGGCTTCCTACGGAAACGTGTAGTTGAGCGTCCCGAGACCCTCATGGTTTATCTTAGCACCCGGGGTCCATTTATAGGGTGTCCTGCACAGGGGGATAGGTGTACTACTTGAATAATCAGTCTCACTGCAATAGGGACCTCCGCCGGGGGGGGGGGGGGGTTGGGGAGATGTGCTTTATATTTAATAGTTTCGCCATTGGCACCTTGATAGTGGTTTTGTAGATAACAAACAGATATACTGCTACAGTAGTGATGTTAAACAATAGCTAAGACATGCTGTTTCGTGAAAAAAAAAACGTAGGCCTACACGTGAGCTGTAGTGCAAAAGTTAAGCAAACATTCAAATCCATTTCATGACTTATTTCCCTTTTTTAAATAGTCACGAGAAACCATTACACATACAAAGCTTTCGTGCTTCATATTCGTTTGACCTACTTGCTTTTAGTAATCATTATGACTTAACTATATTGAAGTAGAGATTTTCAAAACAGACTAATATATATGTGTGTATGTATGTATGTATATATATATATATATATATATATATGTTTACTTTAAATAACTTAAAACGTATCTAAATTGTAAAATAATATTTTGTTGTGTTGTAGAAACTAAGTCAATCACCTTGTATGTGAATAAACATAAAACCGATTAATCAAAAGATATCGATTGATACGCTAGACCAATCATATTAGAGTAAAATAAATCAAAACAATTCACAATAGGTAATTGACTAACCTCTTTTGTTTGGTAGCCATATTGTTACTACATAAGCTTCAGAACAGCATGCCTCTGTTAGCTTTAATTGCAACATTTGCTTTTATTTGAAGTTTAAATATTCAACTTCATAGTGGGTATCATAAAGAAAGTAAACAAGCTAAAGGAAGGCAAAACCCAGCCTATGCCTTGCTTGAAGAAGTGGATTTTTTGAAAAAAAAATACGTTTTTTTTGTTAAAAACATGGAGAGCGGTAAAATATATAATTACGAAAATTCTGGGGGAAAAAATATCGTGATGAAACCAATGCTACTATTAACATGAATAACTTTAGCATTATTATAAACAAAATGAAGGATCTTTTCGCTGAGAGATTTCGCTCTTACGTTTATAGTAGACCTTTTCAACACAAAAACAAATGAGAATATTTCCTATATTAGTTAAAGCTATTTATTTTATATATATATATATATATATATATATATATATATATATATATATATATATATATATATATATATATATATATAATCCTATTCAAAGATCATACTAATGACAAAAAAATGATTGTGGCTCTTTAACAACTGGGTAAATTTGTAAATTGTAACTTTTGGCTCTTCCATCTCAAAAGGTTGCCGTCTCCTGGTCTAATGTATAGTGCAAGTGTCTTTACTTACTATGTAGTGTCATAGGTTACAAATATGTGGTATTCTCTCATTTCAGAACCTTTGGCGTTTACTTTTTCTCTTTTAGATATGTAAGTAATATATAGTCAACGACACTGTCGTTCTCCTATGATAAGGTTATACATTTATTTTTGTAAAACACGTATCGAAATATGTGTTTACCAGAACACTCAGACCAACTCATAAAATACAACAAAGCTATTTAAAGAAGACACACTCGAGTAATTTTTACTTATTGGTACTTGAACGGGAAACGACAATCTTTAGTGAGTTCAAGCGGGGTTTTACACATTACATCCTGATGTATCTAGAGACAAACACTTAAATTATAATATTGGTTGTTTTACTCAGTTGTTCTTAATCTAAACATTGTGTTTGCCTCCCGGACAGGCAGAGCGTATTGTCATGTATGGTGAAATGAAAATTGATAAAACCTAGACCTCTAATCAAACTATTATTTAAGAGCAAACCCTATTGTATTACGTTGTTCAGTTCGCTTATATAAACACATGCTGCTAGTCTCAATTTCTTCTAAAACAGACACGAAAGTCCCACAAGCATGTTGGAAACTCATGTGTCATGTTAATGTGTGATACATATTTTTGAAAGCAGACAAGACAATGTGTGTTGTGTTCCGTCGCTATTTTTTTTTTAAATCACGTGTGTCATTTACTAAACATTATCGAAATACGCATACAACCCACACAATATTCGTTACTTGATTATTTTGATGATGTGTTATAAAACACAAAACATGTTTTGTTATTAGAATAAAACTACTGATTGAACCTAGAGTTGAAAAATTAACTTTATACTGAGTAATAGGGCACATTTTGTCTTTCAATGTATAAAGCAACTATATACCAGATAAACTAGTTTATTGGAAATTTTAATATGAAGATTTTGACATTTGCATAAACAGCTAAAACGTTGTTGTTTGTAGACATAACTAACCCAACAGGATGAATAAACCAGCACTACTTGAGCTCATGTCCTTAGCTGGTAGACCAATGGTTGTACTTCCTTCAACGACTCATCCAATGTATTGGTGTATCTAAAAATAGAATTTAAAAAAACCCAACAATTTTACATGGCGGGCGTAACCACTAATGTCAATGTACGACATGCATGTTTTATTGTGTATTTGGTATTCTTTCTTTCAGTAATAACTAGCACAAACTATATCTTAAGTGAGATTTTTTATCACAGAGGCAAATTTCTTTAAATGATTTAAATATTTTTAAAAATCGTCAATTAATTATGCTAATTTTTATCACTATAGGCTTCATATTTTTAAAATAGATTTCCGAACATTTATAAAAAAACTAGAGACATTTTAATTGATTTAGATTCTCTAATTTAACCTAAAATGAAACCCATGCACCAGCCTTAGAAAAATTGCTCATGTTATATCATTCTTCTTTGGGCCGTTTTGATATTATAATGAATATTTTATACTATTTAGATAATGCATAAATGGCACAAAACTATATAACATTTTTAATGGTGTAAACGCTGTTCAACTAACTAAAACAGGCAAGGTTATTATTTTAAAAAAGGCTTAAAGTCATTGAGCCTGTCTAGCAAGGAAACGATTTTAAAGTATCTAATTTAAAACAAACTGAAACGGTAATATAAACATCAAATTGCAATCTGCCTTGAGTAGAATACTTCATTATAATAAAGACATGGTTTATTAGATTCAATATGTGAGAAACATTTTGTTCTAAAAATAATAATGTTAAAACTACTGAATTATTTTTCAAAATCAAAGCAGGTGTTTATTCGGTTGAACCAGAATGCTCGGATGAAAAATGGATGTTTCCCAAAACGATCAAGATGAAATTGCTGAATTATTTATGCGAAGTGGAGCAGATACCAATAGTGTTCGATCACATTGTCTAGATACACTTATGATTTCATCACTTTACGGACCAGATAAAACCTCTGAAGTGCTGATAAAGAGCAGCACAGAAGCAAATCACATTGAATTACATGGCCAAGATACACTAATGCTTGCTTCACAAAAAGGTCATTATGAAACTGCTGCATGGTTGATAAAGAACAGAGAAGAAGTAAATCGCATCGATTCTAATAGTTGGGATGCACTAATGCTAGCAACTTTTTACGGACATGATAAAATTGCTGAATTGCTTATCAGAAACGGAGCAGATGTTAAACGTGTGCAAGTAAATGGTTGGGATGCACTAATGCTTGCAGTAGCTAAAGGATATAATGCAATAGCTGAATTGCTGATAAATAACGGAGCAGATGTAAATCGCTTAGAGTCAGATGGTCTAGATGCACTAACTCTTGCTTCAGCATCAGGACATGATCAAATTGCTCAGTTGCTTATCAAATGTGGTGCAGCAGTTACTCGTACTAAACCAGACGTTTGGGATGCATTAATGATTGCTTCACTATACGGAAATGATAAAACTGCTAAAGTACTTATAAAGAGCGGCGCAGATATCAATCGTATTGATGCTGATGGTTGGAGTGCACTAATGTTTGCTTCAGCTGAAGGATATATTGAAATTGCTAAATTGCTGATAAAGAACGGAGTTGATGTAAATTGCATTAATTCAGATGGACAAAATGCACTAATGCTATCAACTATTTATGGGCATGATAAAACTGCTGCATTGCTTATAAAGAGCGGAGCAGATATTAATTATGTTGAAAATGGCGGTTGGGATGCACTGATGATTGCTTCACATTATGGACATGAAACAATTACTGAAATACTTATAAAGAGCGGAACAAATGTAAATCGCATTAATTCGGATGGACAAGATGCATTGATGCTGGCATCATCTGAAGGACACGATGGAATCGCTGAATTGCTGATAAAGAATGGAGCAGATTTAAATTACATTAATAATTTAAGTTGGGATGCACTGAACTTGGCAACTTTTTACGGACATTATAAAACTGCTGAATTGCTTATAAACAGTGGATCAAATTTTGATCGTGTTAAAAATGACGGTTGGGATGCACTAATGATAGCTTCTCAAAATGGACAAGATAAAATGGTTGAATTACTAATAAAACGGGGAGCAGACTATCTCGTGTTGAGCCAGGCGGTTGGGATGCACTAATGATTGCTTCACGATATGGAAATGTTAAAACTGCCGAATTACTTATCAAAAGCGGTACACATGTTAAACGCGTAGAATCAGTATTCCGGGATGCACTTGTACATGCTTTTAAAAATGCTGAAACGCTAAAGAAGAGATGTTCTAATACACTTATCAATAAAAGTTGTAAAATTGAATTGAATAACTTCAATACAGGAAATGGACAAACCAGAACTGAAGAAAAACTTGTATTTTCACAACTTTCAGCCATCTATTTATTGGATGTAATGTGTCTGGCTTTTGAAAATAATCACATAAGCATTTTAGCTTTAGTCTGGAAGATTTTTGAAACATATTTGTGTACTACAAGTCTGCAAGTTACGATCAGAAGTTTGTGCTTGTTTTTTAAGCACAGTAAGTATTGTTTACTTCTTTTAATACCGGAGCACTTTTGAGATAAATATATTTAAAACGTGTACATTAAATTTGTGTATTTAAATTCCCAGAATTGCGCAGAGAAGGAATAAATGATTGCGAAAACGAACTGAATGACTCAAACATTATTGAAATAAAAAACACTTATTTTCAATTGTTTAACAAGTAAGTCGGACTTGTAGCGCCTGAAAACACATTAATCAAATGAACTATTTTAAAGTAATATCTATTATCACAATTCTAAGTATTGTATGTAAGTAAACTAAGAGATAGGCCTACTAGATACTATGAATATAATTATAATTTAAACCTACATATAAATACACTTATCTAAACACTTTTAACTTTTACGCCATAAGGTGACATGAGAAATAATTCTCCTTGCTTAATAGATTTGACAAATTATATAGGAAAACATCTCACACAGCAGATAACAATATCAGACTTTCTAAAATAAAATTACTTAAGGATAAATAGAAGCAAATTTTCAATTGTGTAATAAATAATGCAAAATAATTAATACATTTAGAATCCCCGTAAATACACATAAAGTAGGAGTTATCTCCCTTATACTTTCTCGAATTTTTTTACACTGAATAAAATGATCCGTTGAAGGTGAGATACAATGGTACTAAAATTAACACATACAAACTCACTGAAAAACATTGGAAAGCCTGTTTTCCATATTACGCATAATATGTAGAGAGTATAAGAAATCTGGATCTAGAACATATTTTGCCTGATTATAAACAAGTCCCTTATACTCCGTAATATGATGAAGTACTGAGGTGATGTTTGTGCACTGTTACAATACTTCCTTTATACTCTGTATACCAGAAGGTAAAATTGCAAACAGACAATTTAATGGCAATTCTAACATAATTATGCAATAAATAGGTAAACATAAATGATTTTCTTCAAAAATATAATACACTGTGGTTTAAATAGCTGTTGGTCACTTCTTAAATTCTATTAACGATATTCAATAGAACAGATATATTTAAATATATTTAAATCTATGAGACTTGAACGTGTAGTGGGGTTTTCTACAATAGCTAAACTCTCTAAGTATGTGGGTTAAATATACTTCAACTAACCCTAATGAGAAGGATAAATCAAATAGTTTTACCTAAATACACTGTTCAATAACTTGTCTGTGCAGTTTCTATGTTACCTTATTTATATTTAAGAAAAATCATTTAAACGTTAATTGTGCGTGATTTAGTTAGACTGCTATAAATGACAATAAATGTACATTGTCCATTTTAGCAACGATATTATAAAAAAAGTCACCAAGCAATACAATTTACGCTGTTAAATTTATTAGTCTATTTTAGATAGAATTTTTAGCTTACATGTAATCATTTAACATTTTGTATTGACTGTCTAAATATATATTTCTAACAATACAGATCGATTAGCTGTTATGCTATTATTAGGGTTCTTGCTCATAATAATCAGGTAGGTCACATTTCTGCTATTAATATAAGTTAAATTTCAACTCTATTACAATAAACACTCAGTTTAAGAAGATGACATACTTTACACTTACGATTAAGGCACTAATACAAAACTCTAATTTGTTTTTGTCTACACATTTTGTATTCACAACAATCCATACAATTTGGTATTCAAAAATTATCATCAACATTGAATACACAATATTTTTTGGCCTCTGTCATGTAATTTCCTGCGTCTGTTTACCTTGCCATGTTCGCTTTAGTATTTAAGTTTCGTCATCGGCCAATGAGGACTGATACAGATGAAAAAATAGTAATACTTCTTTCTGACAAGTTTCAAAATTTAATTAAACTTTCGTTTTTTTTCTATTTAGGAGATTGGTGATAGAACTGACTTGGTTCTTTTATAGTTTAGGCATATATATATATATATATATATATATATATATATATATATATATATATATATATATATATATATATATATATATTAACTTTACATTTAAATATTAAAATCCGTGGTTGTAATGTTTGTAAACATTTTCTTTTGAAGATAAGCTGTCTTTTTGCTTAAAATGTAAAAATGAAACAAAAGTATTTTACAATATCTACTTAATAAGAGTCAGGGGGGTTAATAATTTCCTTACGTCGACTAATACATCATGTTTAATAAAATTGCAGACATCAAGCTGTGGAGAGTTGCTGAACTTTGTTTCTGATGTAATGTCTGAGTTTTCAAACATGAGAGACTTTGACGCTTTACATTTCTTCATGTACCAGAGATGTCTGAAGACAATTTACTCTGCTCTAAATAAGGGAAACAAACAGACGTTTTTCTCTTTACTCTTTCAACTTAAGTATGCGGGTAAAACATTTACACTTTACAGGTTAATTGTAAAATGGATATTTATTTTACTTTAACAGTAAAAAAAATAATTTAATCATCATTCTGAATTCACCAAATGTCCAGACATTATCTATCAAGGCAAGGCACAGCTATGTTAATATCCGGTGATAATTTTTTTTATAATATAGCCAACCCTTAAACAACACACGGGAGCATTTGGGTATTCGACGTTCACCCTCTGGTAGAGAAGATTTTTTAAACATTTTAATTAACACAAAAAAGCTCATGCAGATCTGCACAAAGACATAAATCAATTATAACATTCTTTTAAAAAGTACGTAAACACATTATTTACTCTCTTGTTACATATCATCGTCACAGATATAACATCGAAAAACTTAAAAGATGAAAATCTTCTGGATACAACAGCACCAGGTTTTACTTTGTCTTTAATTCGTGATATGCTGAGTCTGTTGATTAGCGGTAGTCATTATAATACAGAATTTGCTTTGGTAATTACAGCAAAATTAGATTTTTTTACTGTTACTCATTTTTAAAATGTATTTGGGTTACACAATTACAATGGGCATTTTTACTCTTGCGACAAAAATGACAATCTTTAGAAGTTTTTTTAACACTAACGTTTGACCCAAGACGACCGAATCCTATAAAGTGAATAATATTTTGCAGCGTTTGGCCGAGATGGACTTTGTAAGGATACTAACAGACTTTCTCATCTCTCATAAAGACGTACAGGTAACGTTATTTTGAAAGAAAATTTTAAAGTTTTCGATGTTTACCGAAATGAAGATGTTCATTGTTTAGAGTCGTGTTGACTATATTATATTTACAGATCCTTACTTCTCACCGCTTAGTATATACCCCATTTGGTTGAAACAGACCCTGCTGTTTAGTTACAGCTGTAGAACGTAGATATACCTCAACATCTAAAACAGTTAGCTGTGGTAGTAAACTAATAGTAAACCAATAAATTAATTAGAATGTTTAAAATTACAGAACTCTCAAACTAAATGGATCGTTAGTAAAGTTGTTTTCATACTACATAACATTGCAAGAAGAAATGGGGCGAGGAAATACTTCTCAGTAAACAACACATACAATGTAAGTTAATATTACAATAAAGTAGTAGACGTTATATGTGTGTAGGCTTACATAGGTAGTCAATTATGTAACTGTAAGCAAATGTTTTTTTTAAATGTAGTTTTTTTTTCTAAAATTTAGATGTCGCTGTGTCATCTAAAATACATAATTTAGGATTAGAAAAATTATTAAAATGTATCTTCTAAATGTAGTAATATTGCTAAAGTATAAATATTGTAATAAACAATCGTTGCCATCAAAACAATGAACATTTTAATCATGTAGCAAATGCGTGTACAAATATGTATAATTTAGCAAACTATGTATGCAGTATATTTTACATTTTTGTCTGTGTCAACTAAATACAAAGTAGAAAATAGCAACATAATATGTGCTTATAATAGAGCAAGTGTTTGATTTTAATTTTAGAAAAATGAAGCCATATCATAAACTTTTGTTACTTAAGTTTTGTAAACTTATAATGAACCCGTTATTATGCCAATGATATATGCCTTACGAAACATTCTGAATATCTAAATAAAAGGACATAATATAAAATCGGTCAATTATGAAAATCGGAACCTTTGTCATGAAGGATCATATGTTCTTGTAAGGGTGGTTCTGATTAAAAAGTTAGTAGTTTGTTTTTGCTTTTAAATCAGAAATACAATTTGGAAAAGCACATATTATTGTGAGTACAGCGTATTAACACGTGAGTAAAGGATGTGTACTATTTACATTAACATTGAATATATCTGTGATATTAAATACATTCAATTAAAATGATATTTGCCAGTAAGCTATTTATTCTTTAACCTAAATATGTAGCGCAATAAAAATAAGAAAATAACGTAACTAATTTCCGTAGGATTCTGTTTGTAGGATGTGCCTTAGTTTAGTTTACCAAGCTCTGCCTTGTTCGAAGTGTTTCTTCCAGACATTTTTCTCCAAGAGGGCAATTGATATTATTGGGGGGGGGGGGGGGCGGACACTTTTTTTCCGGGGAGGGGGCGCTCAGTAGCTAAATTACTTTTTTAAAGAAACAAGCAAAACGCGCTAAACAAAATAACTCAATTTCACCTTTTCAATTCCCTATTATTTCATTGGGATTTTCAAAAATACATTTTAGCAAACCATTTCACTTTGTAAAATAACTCAAAATACTGAACTTTTGAAAACTAGAATACAATAAATATATCATTGCATATCTTTACAAACAATCTATTTTATACTCTCTAGGTTGTTAAAAACATGGAATTTGAAGAACAAAACCTATCAACAATGACAACACTTTTACTATTGAACATAAAAGACGATTCTGTCACAGATACAGAGGCAATAAGTAGTAACCTTACACTTTTCTATTAAGCAAAACATGTGTCTGATTATAATAAATTGCAATAATTTATAATTTGGTGTTAAACATATAGCCCTACGATATTTTATATGCATACTGGTTTGCATGATAAATGGTATTTTTATAGCCTAATATATATTAGAATAGTCATTAGCATAATATTCAGAATCATTTAATTATTCATATAAAACTGTTAATTAATTAAGCGTATGATTGTATGTCACATTGCATTGACAACAGGTATTGACTTTTGTGTCAAGTTTGAAATAAATATGCCCCACAGAAGAGCGTAGAATTACGTTCACTATTTTATTCTTATAACCAATGGTCGAAGCATGACAGAAGCACTTAGAATAAAGTAAAGGGGATGTAAGTATAACTTGAAACACTTTCTAAATATATATATATATATATATATATATATATATATATATATATATATATATATATATATATATGTATATATATATATATATATATATATATATATATATATATATGTATGTATATAAATACACATTTAGAAATTTTTTCAAGTTATTATCAGACGTATTATAAAACTAAACTTTTAATATGGGTTTTATTGATGGAGGGTTACTTCCCCTACCCTTGGGGCCTACGCCTATAGCATTATAGAACATACATTAATAGTGACATTTATTATGTTATTTCTATCAACATATACATTAATACAATCTTATAATTGATGTGATTATTTCAGAGTATGTATTAAATGTATTATAGATAATTCAAAATGTTGTGTGAAAGAAACATTAATGCGAGACGTTTTAAAGAATGAAGAGGAGCTAGGAGGATATTCACGGTCTGAACTGCTTCAAGGTCTGGCTAATATCTTTGAACAAAATGAGAATGAGTTACAAGAGGTGTAGACTGTACTTTTTCATACTATAAAAGTCTGTTTAAAAATTTCATTTGTCATAAAAATATTATATCTGTTCTAATCTAATTATACCGATCATTTTTAGTTGATTTTACTAGAGTGTATCATTAAAGTAATTGACGATTTTATGCTCACATACAATACACATATATGGTCAGATGCTTCAACTGTATCCACACCTAAAAGAAATACTAACACATGATGATCCTGATGAACAAATATTTACGACACAATGTTTGAGAGAACTAAGTAGAAATAAAGAGGGAAGTGAGAAAATCATCACAGACAAAGAATTAAATTACACGTTAAATACATTAATGAATAGCAATAATAAAGATCTTTTAGCTAACGTTCTTTCAATATTTTGGAGAGCTGGGCGCACAACGGGAATGTTGCCATCTAAAACTGGTAGGAATTGCATTATATTTGTTTTATTTTAGCCAATACATTTAGTCTTCTTCTTCGTTCTTAACTATTTTTGTTGAAGGGGATCGAGATTTATGTGCCAGTGGGTTTGAACTCGAGACTTTGTTCGAATTTATCAACCATGAGCTTTTTGCCGACTCGACCACACTTTCAACACAATTAAGCGTTATGTGTCAACTGGTTATGCGCCATTGAGGCTATTGACTCCGATTTCAGCCTGCTTTTCTTTTTGGATTTGCTTCCATAGCCTTTGTCCAACCAAGAACAAACTACAAGGCAGCAGTTCTTTAATTTTGGAGATGTCTCTCCTAGAAGAGTGGCTGTCCCCAGCTAACGAGCTTTACCGACTCGACCACGCCGAACCCTATACATTTATTGAATGTAAACTAAAATTCAACGTAAATATTACAATGAATCAGAGTTTCTGCTAGGCATCTGCTCGGGGGGGGGGGGGGGAGGAGGTCTGTCCCACTAAAGAAAACCTACCGCCCCCACCCCCTACAACGAAATGGAATTTATATAGAAAATTTATCATATTAACAATGTGGCCTTCCAGCCCCCCCCCCCCCCCCCCCGTAAATTTTACCCCCCCTCCCCGAAAATTTCAAGTACCCTCTCACCGCGAAAAAGAAACACTTTATTGAATATTGATGGTCATTCTACTAAATTATTAAGTGCACACTATCTTACTCGTGAAATAAATCATCTTTTAATGAACTCAGATGTGTTTCTGTCTGATGAGTTCCCCCAAAAATTTGAAGTAAAACCAGTCCCATTCGCACAAGGAGGTTTTGGTAGCGTCCATCTTGTTGTCGATTTAGACCAACCAGTGGATGAAAAGTTTGTTGCAAAGAAAACACATGCAGACCCAAATAACCAAAAGAAGTGGATGGTACGTAATGGGCGGTAATATAATTTCTAGTGTCAGATCATTGTAGCGTCAGATTTTATATTTTACTATATTTAAGCAATGTGTCACACGTAAACGTTTAGCATACTATAAACTAGACTAGGCATGCTGCCCAGCTTCGCTTAGGCTTTCGAAAACATTGAGAATTTGAATGCTTAATTAATTCGCCCGAGGGTCGGTCTACGACCTCAAGAGTTATGAAGAGGTTCCTCCGTGGACATTTTTTTTCGATTTATAGCTCATATAAGGTACCGGTCAGTCGAGGTCAGTTTTGACCCCTTCATCGTAGACTTTTCGGCCAACCGGCCCCCGTGCTCTGTCGCCCCAAGGCAAGATCCTGCCAAATTTGAAGCGCCTGCGGCGCCGGGAAGTGCCTTATCGGACACCCGACAATCTAGATCTAGATCTAGAATCCTAATTGAATTTTTTTTTAAAGTTTAGTCCGAGCAAAATTTAAAAAAAATACATTAACCAAGTTGACTTGGTGGGTCTCGAACCCGCACCACCTGCGTGGTTTATAGTACACTAACATCTCCGCTATTTAGGCACCTTATAAAATACAGAGAATGAAAGACGTATTTTAAAATCTTAACTTACGCGAATATGCCTATTCTTTCAAATTAATTTTTTTTATCCCAAATTAGCCAGTTCCAAACAAAGATTTTGTATAAATAAATGTTATGAGTTTAGGCCGGAAAAATTGTATTGTATACATTTCATAGTGTACGTAGATCTAAATCAAATTTGAATGAAATAGTTCATTTCTTTTTTATTCTAAATACGGCAGATGACGTCATTAGTAAGCAATAGTGTCGTCACAGTTTTATGCGTTCTTTTACACATCTATTAATGCTTTTCCGGTTGCATAAATAATACTGTTTCTCTATATTCGAATACGCCTTGATTTTTTATTTTTCTTCTTGAAATAAAATTGTGGTTATACATTTAAAACATCTAACATATTATTTTCAACAAAAGTCCGTATAAAGTTCTCCATATATCGCTGCCGTTTCTGACGTGATGTCCGGCGAAAATTTTTTGCGGACAGAGAGAGAGAGAGAGAGAGAGATGTGCGAACGTGGCCCATTATAGTATTAGATATTTGTCTAACTTCAAAAAGATTTATTTTAAAATATTTAATGCCCTTCCTTGTGAGCAAGAATCTCTTTCGCACACATTGTGTTGTATATATATATATATATATATATATATATATATATATATATATATATATATATATATATATATATATATATATATATATATATATATATATATGTGTATATAAAAGTAATGCTTATTTTATACATTTTTTTATTAGGACAGCTTTGAATCAGAGGCTTCGATTTTAATTAAACTGAAACATAAAAACATCGTCGTGTTTCATGGGTATCAAAAGAATGAAAGTGAAATCATTTTATTTTTGGAGTACATAAAAATGGTGAAATATATTGTATTGATAACAATTATGGTATTGTTTGTGCATGTGAATAGATGAATAAATTATTCGTTTAATAATATAATTTTATTTTTAGGGTACTCTCTCCACGTTCATCAAACAACACAAAAGACTCAATGAAGCTTTGACAAGGCAGTTTACAATTCAAATTCTAAAAGGTGTGAAATATTTACATGAAAACAACGTTTTGCATTTAGACATCAAAGGTAGGTTAAGTGGAAACATGATTTTCTTAAATATTTAAAATTTAAATATGTAATATTTTAGTAATTATTGATTAAATACACCGTAGAAGTAGCTTTTTTCAGAATTAAATAATCAAAATTATGTTTTTAATTCTTTTTTTATTATAAAAGTAAACGTTAATTTTAATGTCGATTTTAACAGGAACAAATATTTTAATGGTGGATGAATCAAACATAAAACTAACAGACTTTGGTTTATCGACAATCCTAAACGAGGAAAAAGGTGTTGAAGCAGAAAGGGGCACAACTCGATACATGGCACCTGAGATGATTAACTGCCCTGATGGGAGAATATTTAAACATGCAGGAAGTTTAGACATATGGTAATAATTATTTATTAAAAGACTAATTAACTTTCAATTTTAAAAATGAATAAACAAATTCTAAAATATGTTTGTCATTTTTAGAAAAATCAGTAGCAATAACGCGTGTATAAGTGTACAAAGTTCCTTTTGATTAATTGTATCAGTCAGAAGCATTTTTTTTAGTTACCTTAAATGTTTAAAATTTCAATTTAATTTCTTGCGCTTCGTTGTCTTTTACAATATACGTTTGGTGTAGTTTATTTTGTAACACATGTTAATATTATTTCCCAGGAGTGTGGGGAGTACAGTTGTAGAGATGATAACTGGATCACCACCAAACTCAACAACCACATCAGCCAAAGTACTTTTTAAAATCGCTATGCTGCAGAGACCAAAGTATGAGCTGTCAATCACAGCGTCAAAAAACCTGAGAGATTTTTTAGAAAAGACATTTACACCTGAAGCAGAACAAAGACCATCAGCAGAAGATTTATTGAGAGAAGACCCGTTTATAACAGGCAGTTTATAAATGTTTACTATTATTGTGCGATTTTTTGCGAATTAATATAATGCATTTCTTAAAGGTAATATTGAACGATTTAAACACATAGTAACATTTTATTTTACGTTACTAATTTTTGAAAGTGCCAATATAAAATACATTAAATACATCATTATATTAAATATAAACAGGATAATGTTAGTTAAATGTTTTTAGTTTATGGGAATATACATACATTTTATATACATATAAAATATAAGCATGATAATGTTAGTTAATGTTTCTAGTTTATGGGAATATACAGGTGTATGAATTTAGAAGTAGGCCTATGCATACCAAGTGTAAATAAGAATTATAAGCTATTGTACATTAAAAATGTACTCCAACTCACTTTGTGTAATATATTAGCCCCTGAACATTGTAATACACTTTGTAACTATTGATTTGTATTTGAGCTTTTAGGATCTAGTTTATTAAAAGGTGTTACTATAAGAGATGTTATTTGTTATGGTAAAATAAAATAGTTATATTAGAGAACACGCTGGGTAAACAGTGAAATAAAAACGTAACTGATTGAGGATACGCTCTTGAGTTAAATCGTCATAGAGCGTACGTCAACAGGAAACGGCACTCCTTTATTTAAAGTGGGTTTTTGCATTGCACATCCGCAAACAATATATGTATCCTCAAACGTGTTAGTTTTTAGATTCGGATACAGATAGAGATACAGATGCAAATACAGATACAGATATACTCAATAGATGTGAAGGGGGGAGCCGAATGGGCCTTTGTAATCGAATATTCATTTTGCTCTTAAGCTCTCCCCCCCCCCCCCCCCCACCCTCTTTCAGCTCAGAAATATATTTTTGCTCTTATTAAATAAATTAAATGCATCTGGTCATAGCGATGACCACACTACCCCTTTTACATGCCATCGTTAAGAAACAGCTTGATGCAAATACTAATATCTGACACAACAATTGTACTAGCCTGGTAGTAAACTTACCCAGCTTTACATGTACTTTTGTATAGAGAATTTGTAGTCTTTATAAAACGACTTGAATTATTATTTCAGAATCAAAGAGCTGCAGCCACGCTCTCTACGGGACAGGTTATTAAAATGTATGCCCACGTAAGCCCGGTAGCCCTTGCCTCACATTATTTATATATATAATTCTCTTCTGGAAGACACTAGAAAAAATAAAATACTTAAAAAAACTTTTTTAAAAACCACGTTTTTCTTGTGGAATAAAAAGTAGAAAATAAATTTTCATACATTTGATGACAAAAAACGTGGGTACGTTCACCATCAAATTTCCCGACCCATCTGCCCGACCCACGTTTTTTGTCATCAAATGTATGAAAATTTATTTTCTACTTTTTATTCCACAAGAAAAACGTGGTTTTTAAAAAAGTTTTTTTAAGTATTTTATTTTCTCCTTTTTAGTCCGTTGCTACACATGAAAAACGTTGTTTTTAAAAAAGTTTTTTATATAGTTTATTTGCTACTATATCTAATGACTTGATTAAGTATGACTTGACTAAGTGTTTATAAATACACGGACTAAAAATCTTGAGCGACCAGGATTCGAACCTGGGTTGTCGCGGCCACAACGCGAAGTACTAACCACTATACGATCACGGCCAGCGCGCTCACATCGATTGGGGCCGAAGTAACTGTGCCAATAGGCCTCCAGTCTTGTCGGTATCTTTAGAAATCATGTCCTCAATTTTATGGTCCTTGGGGCGTAATTAAATTAAGCTAATTACGGTCTCTAATTGCTAGTTTTTATGATTGCATCTGAAATTGTTAGGCGAAAGTAGCCTACATGCCAAATTTCAGATCTATTGAGCAATCAGAAGTGGGCTAATTTTCGATGTCAATTTTAACAACAAACAAACAAATCCACAAACGCGAAGCTGAGTTAAGAAAAACGTGTTAACAAGCTGTAAACGCGCTCCCTACCATCCCCACCCCTATTTGGTCTTAGTGAGCTGTGGTTCACGCTATGTTTACCTTCGTGGAGTCGGGTTTAGTGACGGCTATTAGGGGCAGATAATTTAGTTTGAAACTATTTTAAACATTTGGGTGGGGGAAGGAAGATGGGGGGTTATGGTCCTTAACGAGCTACTTATAGTGTTTTAAAGAAATATATTCAGTGTTAGCGTTGGAACTGTCAAATTCACAAATTATGAATTACTGAAAAGTAGAAAACAAAAACCAACTAAATAGCGGCGTACGTTATGCCGCGGGCCGGCTCGTACTTCTTATTCTTGAGCGGTAGGAAATTCAGCAGGCCGGCTTTTTTTAGGCTTTCAACAGTGAGCATTATGGGCTCTCTTAGAGAGGAACCTCCTCTACTAATGTAACCTTTGGTTGGTGAATTCGCAGTTTTTGTAACGTTTTTTACGATATGAGGTTGTAAGCCTTGTGCTCAACCCTCGAACTAGAGGACAAGGGTGCTAGATTTGGTCTGACCCCTTCCAATGCAGATTTTCCCAGGCTGGGTTGAACTCCTGTTGGTATAGCTATGGGTTCGTTGGGATACATAAGCTGTCAAGCCACGTTAAACTCAAACACAAAATCATTGGAAGGCTAATTCATATTGTATTGCGGAACATGAAGATTTATCTGTTATTTTCTTTTATAAAATCTTTTGTCGCTCATGGGATTTATTACATATTAGCCGTCCCGATCAGGCTCTGCACTGGCCTCTGTGAAAAAACTATATGTAAAGGACCATGTATTTTGTGTTTATTAAGCAGCTTATGCATGTCATTGCCCGGGTTTGGGAAATATATTACTTTTCGAGTCAAAATCCAAGCACAATAGCAAACACAAACCCAAACTGAAACAAAACGCAAAAACCAACACGAACACAAAAACAAACACAAACAAACAGAAACGCCAATACAAAAGCAAAAAAAAAACACAATCGTATACACAAACAAAAATAGCACAGGGTGCAAAATAGCACCCTGCCGGGGCGCTGGCGGACGCGCCTGCTTCAATTTAGTGAATGACTATAATACTCCAAGCTCTCTTTTTCCTTTTAATACATTTAAAGCACTCCTCATACCAGCCAATCAACGATTAATTAACAGCTTCTCTTCACTTCGCTTAAAATAAAATTTTCACATTTTACGTAAGATTTCCTGACGCCTATCTTCAAAGAAACATTTACGTTGGGGTAGCGTCCGCTTATTTGATTCCTCTGGCCCAAGTTTTTGAGAGATGCTGCAAAGATTACGACAATAGCAGTTTAATGTAAGCCATGGTTCCATACTTTTCAGGAACAAGTCACCTTAGACCTGTCTAAGGATGGCTGTCCGGGTCTTTTCAACGCCAACACGATGCAAGTTACTATCAATAGCAGTTGTATACCTAAACTTAGAGGCCACGTCATTAGGCAGCTGATTAGCAAAAAACCCATCCAACTACTCATTTACGGTAGAGGCGACACATCGTGTATCAGCTCCGACGCCCTTGATGTCACCACTCTACACAATACAACGAAGAGTTACTGATCATACATTCTCAGTTTTGCCATGTACAAAAAAACCAGAATCGAGAGCCCTACGATGTGTCTCACCTACTATTAATAATTATACATGGCCCTTAGAACATTCAGTAAAAAGGAACCAACAATACAAGCCATACCTCTAACAAACAACAGAAGAATAACCATATCCCTAGAAAAAACATCAGACATGCCACACTACATTAAAAAAATAATTACTAAGACAAAGCAAAAGACATCATAATAGCGATGTCATGCAGAAAACAAGCCTGTCAACACTATTCATCTACCAAACTCTGGTTTAACTAATGCAGCCAACCACACCTTAACCCACCTCAACATGTAATCCGAACTGCACAACTAACAACGCAAGCAACAACAGAAATGCACGCACTACACTGCATGACACGGTAAGCTTCAAACTTAGCGACGGAGCAGCAACAACAGCCAACACCAGTACAAAACAGCAAGACGCCTCTAGTCACAATGAAAAACCACCACAGACTGCTATGGAAACAGAATCTTTAGAAGAGCTTCGGGTGATATTTCTACAGTTTCTATCGTGATAGCAAGTGCAAAACTCGTACAAAACCATTCCATCCTACCGCTAAATGCCGCCACTGTAACAATCTTGTCAAAAGCAGACAGGCAATAAAGCATCGCGTAGTAAAACACCTAGAGAACTATGACTACAAGTGCAGGTACTGCCTAACAAACGTATACACCAAAAACGATATAAAAAAACACCTCAAGGACCAACACCCTGAAAACGACCTCTGCCAATCAAATATTCTACATCCTAACCCCAGACAATTCAATATCTTACATATATGCAGACGATAGAACATAAACAGACAAACATCTACCAGACAACTATCTGATTCAATTTTAAACTATGATATCATTCACTTAATTGTATTTATTTAGTACTTATAGTAAATCTACATTTTACAACTCAAGATTACTGAATTGTAAAGATTAAAGCTATGAATACTTTAATTTAAATGGAATAATTGAAATGTTTTACTTTAAATTAAGATAATGCACATACTTCCCATCTATGTTTTAATATTTTAAAGTAGACGTTTTGTGTTAAGCAACAAAAAATGTGAAATAGTTTCAAAGTATGTGTTTATTTATAGGCTACTCTGTGTGGACTGCTCTGTGTTTAATTGTGATAAGTATACAAATTAAAATAAAGACCACACATCCATCGAAATGCACCATGCCATCGAGATGAGTTACCCAGTACTTGTATTGGGTGTCTTCCTAATGTACGAGTGGCAAATCTCAATTATTCTTTTTTTTTTCAGCTAGATTACACCAACCTAGGAGAAATCTTAAATTGGAAGTTTCGTTATAATACCATCAAATCAATTCGGCTACTCGCCATTTCTTAAAGCTTAACCACCACGCTACACAAACAAATCGATACCTACAAATGCATGATTACTCAACTCTCTTAAAAATAAACACTCATTAACTGCACTATTTTGCCCATTTCAACTACTCGACTACGCAACAATAACCTTCGATACCACTTACTCTCTCAAGCTACCCTCGCAATCAATAATGAAATAACGCAACCTAATCAAAATCTACCTAAATATGATGCTACCGCTTTACCTATCGTCTTTGAACTCTACCCAATTCGAACAACTTTACCATCAACCAGAAGATAACAGCCACACAAGAATCGCCACTTAAACAACTCATCATCCCCCATTGAGACTCTCAAACTACGACTCTACAAGACTTGAAACTACCAACTAACTACCAACCACCGCCCAACCTAGACAATATTAATCGCAAAGAAACCGGAAGTGTAAACAAGTGTACAAGAAGGAGGAAGAACACGGGAAATTCCACGAGCAAAAATATGTATACATATAAATAAATTTCTTGTATGCATGTGAACCTGCTCTTGCTGCCTGCCCTTGCTCGAGAGGGGAAGCAGCAAGAGATGAACTATATTAAACGTAAAAAATAATACAGAGCCACATAATCTATTTTAGCTTTATATATTAGATTTTAGCAACGAAAGCTTGTATGAAAGAAAGTAAATTATATACAGGATAACGCTCACGAGTTATCTTTTCTTACAACGAACGTCAACAGGAAATTAAATTATTTTTAGTAATAAGTGGGGTTTTACACTGCACATTCTAAAAACAACGAATGCACTTGAAACATTTTAATTTTAAATTTGGTTAAGTCACTTATAGGTTCTTAAACTAGACATTGTGTCTACCTTTTGAACCGGCAGAGGGTAGCTAATGTACTGTCATATGTAACGAAAACTGAAAACAAATGTCTCTATCAGAGTATTATTTGAGGCCTCATCCCATTATACTAACTAGTTCAACGGACTCTTATATACATATGTTGCTGCTGTCTTCTAAAGTAACAAAAACAATGAGAGATATGTTTGTTGTTATTCTGTTGTAAATCGATGTTTTCAAATGCATCGTTTATCGAATTACATGCATGGAAGTTAGGATATCACGTGTTCTATTTTGCCATAATGTTAGTGGTGTTATGAAGCACACAAAAAATTTCTAATTATTTTTCGATTGAAACTATTTATAGAACCGCGGCCGCTTTTAAAAAAAAATGTCATTGTAGCTAATATGGACTGATCTTGTCCTAACTTGTGAGACAAAACTGTGTAAGAGATTAACATAAAAAATATTACTGTCTTTAAAATGTCAAAATGTATCGACTATACTATTTTAATTTACGTTGTTTATTTATTCAAATTTGAATACATGGCATGAACTTATTTGCCCGTTGTAGATGGAGCATCACGTTTTATAGAAACAAGCATTCCCTAAACTCTGGTTTCCAACAACAAGTCTTGTGGTATTGGGACGGGAAGAGAAGTCTAAATGTGTACGCCTACCAATTTACATAGTTGCTAGTGTATCCAAAAATAGAATATGAAAACCCAGCACTTCATGAAGTAACCATTTGTGTGCGACTGCCATGTAGTAAGGTCTGCTCAAATTCATTCTTTCGTCTTTAAATCGACATTGTGCTACAAAGGTAGGCTAAATTAAAAATCTAAATTTTATGTCGTTTTATTTTTAAAGTTAAAATTGATGGCTTTTTCCAACGTATAATTGCCTGTCAGAAAGCTAATTTTTTTTACAGTAAGCTTATTTAGCAATCCGTCATAATATATAAATTACATGTTTATACAAACTGATTATGCTATGCTTATAAATTACAATAATTTCAATATACTTACACTCATTTTTTACTTTTATATTTGTATATGTAGTGTAGTTAAATCAATTTCATTGCATTTGTTTAAAAATATTAACATTTTAATTTCTTTGCTAAATTCTGAAAAGTTAAAGAATGTTTATCAATAAAGCGTTTCAATCACATTTTGCCATATTTTTTTTTTGGCAAAGGATAATTTCAATAAGCCACTTGCAGCAAAATTACCTTTAGAATATGTGTAACATTTTAAAGGTAATCTGTTAAAATGCAACATAAAAATAATGCATCGTTTTGAAGCTAATGACATTATGTTTTCTAGTCATAATAGCCCACTCATTCAAGCCTAGCAAACTGTATAATTGTTTTTCTAAAAATAAGTATAGAACTTTTGTTAAATGTGCTATAGAGTAAAACCTTTTGAAAATTGAGCCTGTGATGTTTTTGTTGTATCGAGATGGTTAAGTTTTCACTTTTACAGTGTAGAGTATCTTGATGTGGTAAAGTGTTTCGTTTACCTTGGTTTGACTTCTTCAATGTTGTATGTTGTGTTGTTTTGGTTTTGGAATCAATGATATTTGTTATATGGTCGAGTAGAGTACTAATCAATATTAAACATAAGCATTTATTGCTTAACAGTGGTCAGACATTTTAAACAGTATTTTAATATGTTTTTTTTTAATTGACAACGACTTCTATAATGGATGCAGGGTTTTTAAAAATATATTTCAAAATACAAAGTGCTTTGCGAAATAGTGTCAAAATGCAAATTGGTCGAAAAGTACGATTTCCGACACATTAAAAAATTATGGACTAATCATAAACGAAACATATAGGCCTAATTTGTTATTCAACAAATCTAATTTATTTTTACTTAATTTTTGCCTTCAAATATCAGACAATTTTCTGTCGTCCGCTCTGAAAGCTGTTTTAAAACATAACATAAATAAAAACGTTCTTTTCTTATTATTCTCGAACTGAAAGATCTGTGAAATAATCCGGTTTTAACTAATTTATTTTCATAATTTTTTGACAACAAAAGAAAGTGATCTCAGGTCAACAGTGTAATTAAGGCCAGACACCACACATGATTCGACATTTTACATTTTTTTCTACTAGTTTGGGTTTAACACTAATTCTGATAGTAACACAATTAAGCTATCTAACCTGATCGTTTCCAACCTCTACAGCCAACGGTAATTCGTTTATTGCGATGTAAAACATGGCACCTCCCCAGCAACTGTTTACACTACTACGCGGACAGCGGCTATCTTCCAACGAGTGTTCTATTGCCCAGGAGGCAACGTAAAGTATTCGGCAACCTATCAGCCTAGCACTCGTGTACACGCTGGTGGAGCGACCTTTATTTTGTTCTACAAATAAGTGTGATAAACGTTGTTTTCTACCAAGTAAAATTTGATGTCAAACTCCATATAAGGGCATGCGCGTAAAAATAATAAATGGGAAGAGATTCATTTATACGTTTGACCAATCATACAGTAAATCATAATAATCCACTATAGGTTGCAACTAACCACGTGTGCTAAGCAGCCATCTTGTTTCTAGATAAACAAAACAATCGCCTGTCGTCGTTTGTTTACATTATTTGCACATATTCTTCTATTTGTTGTTTTACAGTTATTTAGATTAATAATTAAAACTTTGCCAAGAAGTGTACAGTAGATTTTCATCGGAACACTATTTAACACTGTTTTGTACGCGACGAAATATGACTCTAAGATGTTGCCGTGCCACTGTGAGGAGCGTAAAGAGTCGGGTCAGCCGTGTAGAGTCTGGGGTCACATTGACGTCATCACAGCACGGCACGTCGTGTTTGACCAGTCGGAAGCGGACAACACGAACGTCCGGTTTTGGTACGACGAAGAGTAAAGCACGTGGTGACGCTGGCAGGCTGGACTATAGAACACCCCGACTTGGAAAGCGATTGGTGCAGCTTATCCCACGTGACCCACGACGAACAGATGATTGGACGATTGGACGCCGTGTATGCTCGCTGGCGTGAGAAACTTAAAAAGTTAAACGGGAAGTATGAAGCAAAAGACAATGTAAACAATGTAGTAGTCCTTGTGTCACATCCGCATGGATGTGCTAAGCGTTTCCCCATCAGCCTATAAAATAGAACTCAAGCACGGCACACAACAAAAACTTGAGATAATACAAAGTGTAACACGCAATGTGTTTACTGTCAATTGTAATGGTAAGTGGTCGACATAAAATTTTCGTGATTAAAAGTCGAAAACAAAACTGGATGGTAAAGAAAAGCAAGGTTATACTTTTACATCAAACACGTAGACATAGATCTACAAATAAATGCAAATATAAGTAAACATTCACTTTCAGACTTAAAATCCATGCGGCAGATGAAGTAGAATTCATGTTTCTTAACTTTTGAATATGAAGGGAAGGTATAGTCAGCATTATGCCCATGTTCCCATTTAGTCTTATCTATTCAATAATCCCCTCCCTCTCTTCAGAAGCGTCGCGAGGGGGGCGGGGGGTGGGGTCATATGTCACCGGGCGCCAACCTTAGAGGGGGCGCCAAAAACAAATTGAAAGTTTGAGGGTGGAGGGTGCAAATCAAAAGTTCGAGGGGGGTGCAAATCGAAAGTTTGTCCCCGAACGCCGGGAGGGGTCGCTACGCCTCTGCCTCTCTTATCTTCTACATCATTGACGTCATTTCGTATTAATTAGCTGCTGATAACACTGCAGGTTATGTGACCTGATCGTCGAGCAGTAAACAAGAAGCCATTCATATAAAAATAGCACACCAACCTACGTTTACTAACAAGGCTGAAATTACAGACTAGTAGTGACTTGTAATCGTATACGTTTGTTCTTAAGATTTTTCTTGTTGCAAAAATATCACGGGGATACACAACATTGGTTCTCCCAGCGAGGACATGGCGGTGTATTTTAAGGGTAAAGGTTATTGTTGTGTGTGTGTGTGTGCTTTTCGATTATTCTACCATATATTAACTTAATAAATAACTATAACTATTCTTTAGAAGTATGACTTTATACTTAGGAAGTATAATATAATTTAAAAAATATCTACTCTAAATGACTAACACACTTCTAAACCATGAGTGTAACCACGTTATAGTAGGGCATAGTTTATGCACTATTTTGCAACATCGATGTTTTTTTTAGTTTTTATTTATTATTACGATAATTATTACGATACTGTAGGTCTAGATCATTGACCGTAGATGATACATAGTACGTTAAGCAACACTACAACACGGCTAACTTCATTAAGGCGAAAATTCTAAAGTCGAGAAATAAACATGTAAATTAGTAGCATAGCAAAGGTAATAGTGACGTCATAAGTGACGTCACTCTTTCGTACGATTTTTACCCTCCCCCGTCCCCCCGTCACACATCGTCACAAAAAGACAGATCCTGCCCTTAAATTATTTCACACCTCAGCCCCACCCCCACCACCCCCCCCCACCCGCTCTCAAAATTGCTTAATTTTGTTATGTTTTTTTTAAATAGTATTTTGTTCTAAATATAAACTGATCTCGGTCAAATATAGATTATTTTAATTAATTTATATTAATTAATTTATATTACAGTTCATTAAAATAGTTTTCTAAAACGCGTAATAACTGCTACAATTGATTTTCTAGCATGATTAAAAATCATGTCTATACACCGAGTTGCCATCCCCAGTTGTTTAATATAAGTATATTTTGGAAAATTTTAGCGAGATCACTCCCGCTCTTTTAATGTCACAATAAGTACTACCATAAACTGATTTTTGTCTAACCCTTTTTTTCTTTTGACCTTTTTTCCGCTCACTGTCGAAAGATGATAGACTTAAGCGTCATCAAATGTCATTCACACTAACCCCTATGCGTATTTCACCACCTGGTTTTGCCCATGAGATAAATATACATTTGTAAAAAATCAAGTACTGCTGCAAAACAAAAGATTGTTACGTCAATTGTCCGCTAAGTATGGTTGTGCAAAAAGTTAACTTATCAAATATAAACATCAATAACTAACTTCTCAAATATAATACCTAACATTTAACCTCTGAAACATAATATCTAACAAATAACTTATCAAGTATAAACTACAATTGTTAACTTCTCAATTATAAAACCCAATTTTGGGTGTCACAAATACAAACCCTCAACAGTTAACTTCTCAATTACACACTTCAACAACGAATGTAAGAAAGGATGGACGGAAGTAGCCAATTATAGCGAAACAAGCAAATGTTACTGCTTGTTATTGTTTCTTCATAATTAATACGCAAGCAAACTTTCTGATGAGAGAAAATCTCCTACTGGTAATTATCATTATTTGTAAAAAATCAATTAAACTTTTAATTTAAAAAGCGTTCTCTTTAATATTCTGGAATAAATCTAAAATCTATAATTTTCTTATTTAAACTAAAAATTATATAACAATGAAAAATCTAAGTGGTGTTTTAAATAGTTGCCATCATGTTTCAACAAGAAATGTATAATTTTGAATCCACCAATGTCTTTACTAATTTTATTAAACATTAGCTTTTCGAGTTGGATTGCCATATTTAAGTTCGATAGTTGTATTGAGTTGAGAGAAAAAGAGTCTTGATTATATATATATATATATATATATATATATATATATATATATATATATATATATATATATATATATATGATATATATAATAGCGTGCCCTTTCCCGCTCGTGCCGCAGTCCCAGCAAAAAGTATTACGTAATATTTTAAGAGGGTTTCATCAAAGCTATACCAATCCTATATTGTTAATCGCGTTACCTTGTTTTAAAAAACTGAGCTATTTACATGTAAATACTGCTTGCTGTATTTTTCTTGGATCCTATTTAACATGGCACAATTTTGCCCAGACTTCTGACCAGCATGCCCCAGGGCAAAAGCCGATAATAATATATAATAATAAAGCAAGAATAAAAAAAAATGACAGGTGTATTTCTTTTTAAACTAATTGTTTTTGTAAAGTTTAAATTTTACACTATTTCGAGCGTTCACTAACGATATTATTTAGCCTAATAATATGTTTTCTCCACAGCAACGCAAAGATGTCACCTCGTATAGCGTCATGATTCAATGCATTTAGTATTCATTTTCATAACTATTCATTCCTACTTAATTCCACTCGTAAAACGCTCTTCGTAACATTGAGCTATAACGAGACAGCAGCGGCCAACAACGCTATTAATATTTATAGGAATTATGTAATTTTTTAAAAGAAATATAAGGGTTTGCTGCTTGATATGTCTTGTGTATGTGTGTGTGTGTGTGTGTGTGTGTGTGTGTGTGTGTGTGCTTTGAGCAAATAAAATCTAGAGTAAACATAAACAAACTTTACTAAATTGGTCCGTGATTCGGCAGCTCTTGATCCAGACGAAACACGTCAAAGAGTATATCACTGTAAAACAAATAAGCACTGATAACAATAAACAGTAACATTAATTAAATATTTTATAACCTTTTACGAATGACAATTTTGAATAACTAACATGATATAGCATATTCTAAGCGTATTTTTAGCACTAACTAGACTACCCTTTATCTAGTTAGATAACTGTGGGTTTCGGGGTTCACTAATCATCACAAAATAACCAGACCCCCACATTCAAAAAGGCGTCACACCTCAGACGTTTTTGTCTTTTAAAAACACTGACTCTCTCTGAGCATGGGTATGACAACATAATCTTTTCAAAGTCTGAAGTCACAAAAACAGATCAACTCTACTTCACCTGCCCAGTTTCCTCCCAACTCAGACATGTTTTTGTCTGTGAAAACACAGATTTTGGCTGAGCGTGGGTCTGACCACACTTTCTTTTCGTATGCTGTCGTCACAGGTGAACTTTACACCTACCCAACACTACTTCACCTGCCCAGTGTTCCGCCAAGTCTCAGACAACATACTTTATCTTTATAAAAAAAAAAAAATTCCGGCCGAGCATGGCTCTGACGACACTATCCACTTTATATGTTGAGGACAAAGAAATAGGTGAACTCTACTTCACCTGCCCTGTATCCCGCTAAGTTCCAATAGGCAAAAGCAACATTATCATTCACAACTAAAAAAATTATAAAAAATAAACACTGGCATGTCTAAAACCCATGCCACGCGCATGGTAACTAATGTGCTAACCTCTTAGCTATCTAGGCTCACACAGAAGATAATATCTTATATTTTTTACTTCTAAGCAGCGTAACAAAATCTATTCTACGAGAATCAGCCCTAGAATTAGATCTAGAATTATTTCAAATTAAATGTATTGTATAATAAAATAAAAAGAAGTGTTAAAACATTGATAATAGTGTTGAAACGTAATAAAAATAGCAAAGGGACGTATTGTTAAAGGTATAGCCGACAGAAAATTAGTTTAAGAACGCGTTAAACATCTGAATCGGCAACTACATCTTGGATTGAAGTCGCCATTTATTGTACTAAAAAGTAAACAAATTAAGTGACGTCACTATTTCCACAAAATTAAGTCAATGTTTTAATCTTTTAAAATTAATGTGGTTAATCTACCTATGAATAAATCAATAAATTAATTAACGTCTTTAAATAAATGTGTGATTAACAGTCTGTCTGAAAACTAAACTCGTTCTCTACCTACATACTATTTTACAGCCCTATTCACAGAGCAGATTTTCTCCAGTAGTCAATCAGACAAACAAAAAAACAAACAAATAAATATTCAAACATGTAAACAAACTTGAGTTTTAGAAGTATAGAGATATTAATGCTACATATTGATACCTCTCATCTTTGATTTTTGTTTAAGTATACTAAATTTTCTTGTAAAGTAAGACGTAATTGTATAGTAAGAAGTTCTACTTCTTTTGCATATAAACAGCCATGAAAACAAATATTGTGCTCTATTGCTGAAATCGCACTATTAATTCAAGCTTATGGCGTTTACAACAAGGTTCATGGTGAATAAAAAATTAAAAATATATTTCCAAATTATTCTAAATAATTCTCATATTGGTTTGTAAAGTCATGAATGAGACTTATCTAGTCCTTTGCTAGTTTAGTTTGTAGAGCGGATTTTATTGTAAAGTTCTATTGAAGATGCAGAACCCACTAGAAAATCCATCAAGACTTCATGTTTGGAAACCCGTATCTTTTATTATGAAGAAGCAGACCATAATTCTCTAAAATAATGCACCACTTTTTTTGGGGATATTTTTTTCAATGTTAAATTTTGTTGTAAATTTGTTTTCAGGTGAATTCATTTTTTAAAGGACAGCGAATACGTTAGACAAAATCAAGAATAATTGTAAAAAGACGGATCTGATGCATATAAGACGGACGAGATGCTTTAATGGATGACCCAACTGAAGTAAAGAATCAAATTGTAGAATTGTTTATCCAAACTTGAGTAGATATAAATCGAAATGAAAGTCATAAGCATGACACTTTGCTGAATGCCACAGCTAATGGGAATAATAAAATAATTAAATTGATTTCTCAAAATGGAATAGATTTTTATCAAAGTGAAAAAGGCAGATGTGATGCGTTGATATTTGCCTCACGTCATGGACATGATAAAACTGTTGAATTGATTATCAAACGCGGAGTAGATCTTAATATAACTGACAAGAACGGACGCAGTGCTTTGATGAACGCTTCAAGTTATGGGCATAAAAAATTGTTGAATTGTTTATCAAAAGCGGAGCAGATATTCACCGCACTGAAAAAGAAGGATGTAATGCATTGATAATTGCTTCAAAACATGGAAACCGTAAAATTGTGGAACTGCTTATAAAAAACGGAGTAGATATAAATCATACTGATAAATATGGCTGGAATGCATTGACGGAAGCCTCAAAAAATGGACATTATAAAATTGTAGAATTGCTTATAAAAACGGGAACAGATATTAATAGAATTGACAACGGCGGTCGCAATGCTTCAATGAATGCCTCATCTAAAGGAAATGAGAAAATTGTTGAATTGCTTATGCAAAACAGAGCCGATATTAATAGAACTGCAAAAGATGGCACAAATGCATTAATGCGTTCCTCAAGAAATGGACATGCTAAAATAGTTGAAGTAGGCCTACTTATCAAAAGTGGAGCAGATGTTAGTATTATTGAAAATTCGGTCGCGATGCGTTAATGGATGCCATAGCTAAAGGACATTATAAAATAGTAAAGTTGCTTATCAAAAGCGGAGCGGATATTCATCAAATTGACAAAGATGGATGCGATGCATTGCTATTTGCCTCACGTCAAGTAAATGATAAAATTGTGAATTGTTTATCAAAAGCGGCGCAGATATTCTTCGCACAGACAAAGAAGGATGTAATGCATTTATAATTTCTTCAAGTAAAGGTCGTAGTAAAATTGTCGAATCGCTTATAAAAAGAAGAACTGATATAAACAAAATGGACAATGATGGACTAAGTGCATTGATGCATGCCTCAAGAAATGGACATGACACAATTGTGGAATTACTTATCGAAAGCGGACCACATATTCACCAAACTGACAAAGACGAATGTAACGCATTGATATATGCTTCAAGTACAGGAAGTGGTAAAATCGTGGAGTTGCTTATCAAAAGCGGAGCAGATATTAAAGCAATAGACAAAGGCGGATTGGATGCACTAATGCATGCAACAAATAATGGACATGAAACAATTCTTGAAATACTTTTCAAAAGCGGAGCAGATGTTCATCACACTGACAAAGACGGATGTAGTGCATTGATATTAGCTTCACGTAATCGACACAATACAGTTTTGGAATTGCTTATAAAAAACGGAGAAGATATTGACATGCTTGACAATAAAGGACTAGATGCAATAATGCATGCCACAAAAAATGGACATGATGAAATTGTGGAAATTCTTATCGAAAGCGGATCAGATATTCACCACACTGACAAAGATGGATGTAATGCATTGATATTTGCTTCACGTAATGGACATGATAAAATATTTGAAATGTTAATAAAAAACGGGGCGGATATAAATCATAGTGACACATATGGCAGGAGTGCATTGATGAAAGGCTCAAGAAAAGGACATAATAGAATCGTGGAATTGCTTTTCAAAAGTGAAGTAGCTATAAACCAAGCTGACATAGAAGGATGTAATGCATTGATATTTGCCTCAAGAAAAGGACGTGGTAAAATTGTGGGATTGCTAATAAAAAGAGGAGCTGATATAAATCTTACTGACAAATACGGATGTGATGCCTTAATACATGCCTCAAAAAATGGACATGATAAAATAGTGGAACTACTTATCAAAAGCGGAGCAGATATTAATAGAATTGATAAACGGGGTATGAATGCTTTAATTGATGCATCAGATAAAGGACATTATAAAATTGTGGAGTTTCTTATGTTAAATGGGGCCGATATTAATAGAGCTGCAAATTATGGCATGGGTGCATTGATGCATGCCTCAAAAAATGGACATGATAAAATTGTGGAATTACTTATCAAAAGCGGAGCAGATATAAATCATGTTGATATGTACGGCACTAATGCAGTGATAGTTGCTTCAAAATATGGGCATGATAAAATTGTAGAATTGTTTTTGAAAAACGGAGCAGATAATAATAAATTTGACAAAAGCGGTTGTGATGCTTTAATGGATGCCCCAGCTAAAGGACACGTTAAAATTATCAAAAGCGGAGCAGATATTAGTAAAATTGACAACACCGGTCGAGACGCATTAATGTACGCTTTAGCTAAAGGACATGATAACATTGTTGAATTACTAATGAAAAACGGAGCAGATATTAATATAAATGACAAAGGCTATAACGATATTTTAATAAATGCCTTAGATAAAGGACATGTTACAATTGTGGAATTGCTTATAAAACGTAGAGTTGATTTTAATTTAACTGATAAAGACGGACGTAGTGCTTTGATGGCTGCCTCAGGTAATGGACTTACAACAATTGTTGAATTGCTTATCAAATGCGGAGCAGATATAAATCAAACTGACAAAAATGGCATGAATGCATTGTTTTATGCCTTAGAAAAAGGACAAGATACAATAATAGAAATACTTGTAGAAAATGGAGCAGACATCAATAGTGTTGATTTATTTGGTGTAAGCGCATTAATGGAAGCATGTATGAAAGGACTCGCAAATACTGCGTTGTTTTTAATCAAGAAAGGAGCAAATGTTAAGCTTTGCGATCAAAATGGATGGGATGCATTGTTATTTGCATCTCAAAATGGACTTGATGAAATAGTACAACTAATTTTAAAAACTGGAGGAGATTTCAATCGTGTGAATAGATACGGATTGGATGCATTAATGCTTGCAGCTCAAAATGAAAAGAACAGAACAGTGCAATTACTACTAAAAAGTGCCTTAGATTGCATTGTTTTTAAACCAAACAGATGGAAGAAATCAAAAAATACATCTGTGAATTTTTTACATGAAACCGTAGGGAGCATAGAACTTCAAACGTATTTAACAACTTACCTATCAGAATTAGTTTTTCTTGCACTTAAAAAAGAAAGCAAGAGTTTGTTAGAAATAATAACTTCTTTTGCTGATGAGCATAGCTACATGACTTATTTTGCGAGAAATATCAAGATCCTTAGTCACCACTGTTTAACAAGTATGTATATTTTATAAACGTTTATATATCTATCTATCTATCTTTATATATATATATATATATATATATATATATATATATATATATATATATATATATATATATATATGTATATATATGTATATATATACGTATATATACGTATATATACTTATATATATATTTTTATATATAAATATATATATATAATTTCCAAATAGTGTGAATGTATGCATAAATTATTTGGATCCACCAATTAATTCATGTGAAACAGACAACTTTTCTATTGTAAATTATTAGATGTGGTGTCACCCCCATTTAAATATTCATTTTAAATTAACGTCTCTAAATTTTGCAGTTGGTGTCACTCCCAACCCCTCGGTGATAGCTTCAAAGTGTGCACAGTTAATAGTATTGATCTTTATCTATAATCAGTTATTAATACATGTGGTTGAAGCATTGTTTTCTCTAAATGAACAGGTTTACGCCATGGTGTCCCCCCCCCCCCTACACCTCTTATCAACTCGTCGTGATCGTTAATTAGTACTTAAAAGACTTAATTAGTATTTAGAAGTTCATTAATGGTATATTTTGCCATTTTTTTTTGTCTCTATAAATGGTGTCACCTGATGCGATCCGCACCCCACCCGCCTCAGATTTATTATTCATTACAAATTAATTAAACAGTTTCGAAACTAAAGGGACATACCAAAATTAAATTACCTGATAGATTAATATATTCTATCAGAAGGGGAGATAACTAGTTAGACGAGATCACAAGAACAGTCTGGTGAGCTGTGGTTTACAATAATGTTTACAATCGCATAGACGGTCGATCTAGTAACGGATATTAGAAGCAGATAATCCATTTTTTAAACGATTTGAAACTAAGATGAGGTAACAAGTTTAAGAAATATCCTTCGCTTGTTCAGTTTGCTGGTGTCTGTAAACTGTAATCACGGTCGTGTCGACTTCATAAAATATGAATAATTGAAAAGTAGAAAATTAAACAAATATTTAAAAAAAAAACGTTTAAATACTCTGAAAATAAGAAAATAAAAATAATCTGATTTTTTTCATAAAAGCTTTGAACGCCCATGATATTTTGTACATATTTTAGCGGGTTAGTTTTATATTGTTCTTTTCATTTAAAAGCTTGTTTATAGTAAGTTTTTGTTTTTGTGTTTTTTTAGACTCAACACATCCGTACTTTTTCTTAGCGTCTAGTGAAGCACTCGTTCATTCATCTTACATGTTCTGCAGCTCATTGAGAGCTTTGGCATGCTTTCTCTACTAAATCCATTCAGACTCGTCCTTAGTCTTCTTATTCCAAGTTGTCAAATATATATCAGTACATTTTTCATTCAAAGCAAAGGTCTATTTAGCTTTCATTTTCCTGCGTCGTTTTGGTCAAACACGAACAATGATATCTTCTAGACATGTATATTAAACTATATGTTGTATTTGGTTCTTTCTGATTCGCACTGTATGAACACAAACTGGATAGAACATCATCTTAGAACTCCAATAATCCCTAAACTTTTAACCCGATATTAAATGAAATTAGAATCTGTACAGTATATTAAGTGTTAAAACGTTTTATTTTGTCTTGCCAAAACCAGATACTAAGTCCCAATGTCCACCCATTACAATAACCTTCTTACAAACTTTTTCCCAAACATCTATAGTAAAATATCTTTTACCCCAGCTTTTACCCTAATCTTTTCCTTAAAACTACCAATTGCCTATCGCTAACTTTAAACCTTACTGTTAAACTAACTGTAACTAAATCCCAATCTTAAACCTAACTCTATTCCTATCAATGTTGTTATATAATTATTAATGCGGTTTACTTTTGCACATGTTCCTATTAACCATAACTCCTAACAAAAACTAACATACACGTAACACTTATTCAGACATTAAATTTTAAATTAGCTAATTCTTTCAATAATGTGTATCAACTTCTAGATTTGAATAATTAATTAAAACTTATATGTACCCTTGGGATTAGTATACTAATAAATATTGTATATTTATTAAATACACAGCACTAAATCAAGGTGTACAAAACGACACTAATAACGAACTGAGCACTTCAACCATCCGTGCACAAAACCACGCAGATTTCCGCAACTTTAAAAGGTAAGTAATTTGTGTAGCTTACAGGGACATGCCTATACATTTGCAACAAAGAAGTGATACATTATAACTAACAAAAATTACATAGGCTTACATATATTTTGATACTGACCGCGAGACCTAATTCAATGTAGGCCTATATCCTTTCACATAGAAGTAAACTCATAGGCCTGCTATGCTGTGAACTTTGTCAATAAATGTAACGCTTCCCAATCACCCCGTGATCACCCAGTTTATTCATATTATGGCAAGCTAACTTATTGCGCAGAACATTACATAACAATTATCCTCTATTTTACCCATACGCCGTCTAACCAATTAATATGAGGATGAAGATCGATATTACATTAAGGATCATAATCGTACTATTCTAAATATGAAGGCTTTAGAATGATTTGTTACATTTATATATTTGGACCATTTATGCAATTATACATCATCGTTATCGAAGCATGTCAATGTATTGTGTTTTTATTTTCTTGAAACTTTATTTACTTCTCATTATGTCGATTTTTGAAAAAAACAAAACAAATACATCCAAACAAATAATACAAATGCTGTGTATATATATATTCTATAAAAACAGATCCATCGATTGTTATGTAAAGATTGTTCTTTTCTGTCGCAACAATCAGGTAGGAAGTTATATTGTTAATACATAAACACACAATATATTAAGTGTTATCAGTGTTTACGATTAATTTTCGTGACTTTCGTGAAACGGAAATACCGACTCATGAGTTGACCTCCCATAAGCCAGGCAGGCCTCGACGTGGTAAAACTCAGACTAACTGGCATTTGTGGAAACAGTCTCACTAAGATATTGGTTTGAACACTACACTTTGGTCGCGTTTCATCCGTCGGTTCTCACCAGGCTTGTCTTCCCTACCCACCAGGCGCGGGACACCGTGTCCTACCACCTGATACCCAGTTTGACCGTTGGAGGGGAGGTGTTAGGACCTTAAAAAAGTTTAGGGACACATAGTTGCCTTCACGTACAAACCCGAAACTGCCGGGAAATCGACTTCCGTGCCAAGAACCTTACAAACACAAAGATCAGTCACTTAGTAAAATTAACCCGACTGGACATTTGAAAGACCGGGTCAGAGGTCACTGCGGTAAAACCTGGAATGTGTGACAAAGAGCTTGGGACAGCACAAGATGGCGGTAAAATAGTAGTTTTTCCGTCTTATGTCTTACACTTAATAGTTTTCTAATAGTTTTCTAATGTGTAAAAATGTGTTTTATGAAAACATTTTTGGACCATTTTTTTTTTGAAATTTTACAGTGACATAATTACAATTAACATGTTTTTATACAAAATCAACAACGATTTTAACCTGAATACTAAAACGTGAAAGTGTGAGAAAAAAAAGTCAAGATAAAATAACATTATATGTAACATTATATGTAAATATTTAAAAAAAGAGATAAAAAACGTATTATACTTCTGTTTACATGGTGGCATTTTTTCTTATCTTCATGAGGTACACGTCTCTTGATATTTCTGATATTTTTGTTTACTGTTTGTGGCTCTATTTGAATTACTGTTTTGTCTTCTATCTGCCTATCTATACCGACATACAGACTTGCAATCGCCTCTTTTACCCCAGTAAAAATAATCAGTTCGTTGAGGATTCTTACACTTCTGTTCACTGTATCTACTATTTGATACATTGCTTATTATTTCATTATAAAGACATTTAATCTCACTTTTTTTGGAGTTTTTGGTTAACATTGAGTCTTTCTGTTTGTCAAGATATGTAATACATACGTTATATAAATTTGTAAAGTACATGAACTAAATCATTACGATGTATTATAATTATAAATCAAAAAGTTAACATTAACTTCAAGTATTATAAAAAGACAATAATAAATGCTCTAAAACAATAAGGGCTTTTATGAACGACCAATGCTTCTAATAAAAAAATCAAGTCTGCATTTTAAAATTATTATCTTCCATCCAAATACATTTTCTGTGAATTGACTGTGTCTAGACCAATGTCTTCATTTATCTATTTCAATTTAAATTGTTCCTGTATATTTTTGTATCAAATGCTAATTATTGCCTTCTATTCCTTCATTTATTGACAATTAGTCTGCAAGAGGTCATCGTAATCAGCTTGGTCATTTTTACATTCCCCCCTTGTTGATTTTGATAAGTGTGAAAGCTTTATTAGCTGTTTTGTTTTTATGATAGTTTATAATGTTGGATTAACGAATTCACTGTATCGCATTCTAAATGCATGCTCTCTATGTTTCTTGTAGGTTTTATTTGCATGCCTCTAATATTATGTGATTCGCATGTGTTAAGATCTTACATCAGTGCAGTGTTGTGTTGAACCTGTAATCAATATGTCTTTATTTTCATGTTATTTTTTTGTTTTTTTTGGGACGGAGTGGTCTAGCGGTAGAGAGCTGGACTACTAACCCGCTAATCTCGAGTTCGAATCCGGGTTCAAGTCAGTAGACCGTCCCTGAGTCCACCCAACTCTGATGGGTACCTAACTCACGTTAGGGAGAGTAAAGGCGGCTGGGCATAGTGCTGACCACACTATCTCTTCATATGCCGAGGTCACAGAAACAAGTGAACTCTACTTCACTTGCCCCATAGACCGTCAGGTTTGAAAGGGAAACTTTACTTACTTTACTTTATTTTTTTGTTATATTCATTTCTTAATGCGTAGCTCATATCTACTGTAATGTACTGTAGCTCCCTTAAACCTATGGTATAATGGGGTTGCACGATTCTTGTTTGTGTTTCCTAACACTTTATATGAGCTTTCTCAAATAATTTAAAATTTTCTTTCAAATAGTTATAATTGCTATGTAGGTATACACATTATCAGTTCGTTCGTGGTCTGGTGTTGTGAACTGTGTCTTAATTTGTTTTCTTTGTTTAAAGCTGTATATATTATTCTGCCATTCCGTTGTTATGTTTTTAAAAATGTTCTTGGCTATAGGTTTCGCGGAGCTTTGACCACATGTGTTTTGTCCTGAGGTCAAAACACGAACTGCAGTAGTGCTGTCAATAATATTTCAGTATGCCATACATCAGGGGTTCCCAACCTTTTTTTTACTCTAGAGCACATTCTAAAATATCAGTAGGGTGGCGGGCACCACCTCTTTTAAATCGACAAACTCTTTTCATAACTTGTCATTTCCCCATAATTTATTTTCTTATTTCTAATAGTTATAATGTATTAATAAGTAATAAACAAAAATGTTTCAAAATAATAAAATTATTCGGCATTTTTTAAAAATTGCATACACACAGAGAAATGTAGTTACAAAACGTAAAGAAAGATGTTCTGCGTGTACAAGGTGTGATGTGCAAATGGCACTAGCCGTTCCAGGCTAGCGTAAATAGTGCAGTCTGGCTCGCCGCTAGACAAGTTGGGACAAGTATCGAACATATTTAATAAACCTAGGCAGTCAAAAAAAATTAAATTTGTAACAAATAATTGAAAATAAATCATATTTTAAAATAGTGTTTATGAAAAAAGTTCTGTCTCTGTCGAATAGTGAGAGGCGGGCACATACGAATCGTTCAGCGGGCGCCATGGCACCCGCGGGCACTGGGTTGGGAACCCCTGCCATACATGTCAACTAAAGCGGATGTGGTGGTCAGCATCAACTTCCTCTAATTGATTAATGTGTCTTTAATATTTGGGAAACTTTGCTTTATGATCATCATGCCTTGGCTGCTTTTAATGCTGTGAATGTAGTTATTGTTTGCACGTATTTATTAAAGTGTTATTAAAGTATTTCAATGTTCGTTTTTTTACTACTGTTTCTTTTCAATCTGTACATTCTTGTCGTTTTAAGAGACATATTACTATTCCTAGAAAGTATTATGTACTGATTGTTCTATTATGTGATTATTGTTTTCTGTTAAATAGTTTCGGCTATTGTTTTTTTTGGCGTATGTCGAAACTTGCATATTACGAGGTGTCGGGTTTAATTTTGGCATTTATTAATATGCAGTTGTGTTGGGTTCAATGTCATCTAAGTTGTATTTGATGGTTCTATTAAATATGATGGTTTCCCCTAATGTGTATCACCTATTCCCTTAGTATTTAAGGTTCTTACTTACTGAAGACTAGTATCTAGTTTGTGGCTGTTTTAGTTTAATTTCACGTTCTACTCATTCTTAACATTGTGCAATTTTACTGATCTCCACAATGTTTCTATACAGTTATCTGCGTTCATTGTTTAATAACGTCGTTGAATCGTGTCTGTTTATGGCGGGGAAATAATTGTATGTCATGCAGTAGGCGCAAGACAATCTCCTTTTTTCTTTGTGAATCACCAGCACTTATGCCGCCCCTCATCATCTTTGAGTCAATTATGTATTTTAACTGTGTTTCATCTTAGTTAAATTAGTGTTTGATAATTATTCCCTTAGTAAACTGTCTTGAGGAGTAGTGTGTTCCCATTTTATCGAGGTTAGTGGCTCCTATATAAAATTATTATGTTCACCTGCTTCACGGTAACTTTGATCAATCGTAGAGTTCTTTTATTTGCGGCCGTCTTTGTAACATGTGGTACATCACGTTGACTTTGCCATATATATATATATATATATATATATATATATATATATACACACAGTTAAGTTCATTCCCAGGCATTATATCGTAAGACATTTGAGATTGGTTGGAAATTCCTATTGACATGGTTGTGGGTGTGCGACTATATAACTACACGCGGTGTCTTAATAAATCTAATTATTTTCAAATACAAGTTTCCCAAAAATAAACATTCTGAATTGAGCTGTCTTTTTTGTTAGGTAAGTTCAAGCAGAACGTTATATCTTAAAGGACCCACGTTTACTTTACTACAATGCGTCGACTCGCATTATATGCCAGACCTCCGTTGAGTGCTGTACTTGTGTGTATCTGACATTATATGCCAGACCTCCGTTGAGTGCTGTACTTGTGTGTATCTGACATTATATGCCAGACCTCCGTTGAGTGCTGTACTTGTGTGTATCTGACATTATATGCCAGACCTCCGTTGAGTGCTGTACTTGTGTGTATCTGACATTATATGCCAGACCTCCGTTGAGTACTGTACTTGTGTGTATCTGACATCATATGCCAGACCTTCGTTGAGTACTGTACTTGTGTGTATCTGACATTATATGCCAGACCTCCGTTGAGTGCTGTACTTGTGTGTATCTGAGCGATGATATACACATGTGAGGCTATACTTCTTTTACTTTCCATCACACGAGCCACCACAAAGATAAAGTTTAATTTTGAATATAGGATCCGGATTTTCTTCCACATTTGCCCGAATGAGACAAAACGCCAAATGGAACAAATGCACGAAAGCTATTCGCCGTTTGCCCGAAAACAATTAATACAAAACATTACTTAGTAGACATTCTAGAAACTGCGAATTAAACATTTTGATTATTTTAAGCATAATACTAACACAGTTCCAAGCAGAAGTTTGTTTAAATATATATTTATATATGTGGTGAATGAGTGAAATGTGAAGAATTGGGGTGAATGTTTTTTTTATATACTTTGTACTCTGTCCCGTTCGTCCCTGTTCAATCATCGTGCTGTGAGTTGTGACAGTCTGGTTTTTACCTGTTTTCGTCAGGGTATATAAGGTGTATGAAACGGGTATGATTGACTCAGTTTCGTGCAGGTTTCCCAAAGGTTAGTGTTGATTAGTTCTATACTCTTAGATAGCCACTGGAGTTTGTTTACAAACGTATGTGTCTATATTTAGGATAGTTTGTGTTGTGTAAATAGTGTATATAGTATTATTATCTTTTGATATTAACGAGCGGTTGACAAATTTAGTCGTGTTTTGTAACCCGTTTGTACTTGTTTCGACTTATATGTTGTATGAAGCACTGGATCACCCTTAAGGCGTATAGTTTTCACAACATATAATTGGTTGCCCCGTCCGTGATTTGAACTACACTGTTTGTTTTGTGAGTGTCTCTCTGTCTACACAACAACACAAACCATTTCATAATTTTTATTAGTTCATATTTATTAGGCCTCAATAATTAAACATTTTCTGTAATAAATAAAATAATCACAATTGAGTACTTGTTAAAACTGTGACTTAAAGTACCAATAATAATGTTACTGTTAAGGTTCGGAAACGCTTTTCTTTAAATATAGTACTTCCTCTTGTTTAAATAGATAAAATACTCATAGCAAAATTTAGTATTGTCTTGTAAATAATGTTAAAATCATTTAATAACATGAGTAATAAAACACATTTTTGTTTACTTCCAGACACCAAGCTATGATGTATTAAAAGAGTTTGTTTGTGATGTTATGTTAGAGTTTTCTAACATGAGAGACTTTGACGCTTTACATTTCTTCATATGTCAGAAGTGTTTGAAGACAATTTACTCTGCTCTAAATGCTGAAGATAAACTGAAGTTTCTTAAACTACTTTTCAATCTTAACTATGCGGGTAATTTAGTTTTACAGATTTCAGTTATATTTTAGTAAAACCGGTGTTCTAGCTCACATAAAAATGTCAGTTTGGTTGTTGTTAACAAGACTGACAGATGGAAGAGGCGGATGTTTTTGACTGTCACTTGTAGATGTTACCAGCATGTTGTTACTCGCATGGTAAATCACTGAGTGTGTTCAGTCACTGTGTTGCTACTTGTATGTAAGTCATTAACTGTGTTGCTACTTGTATGTAAGGCATTAACTGTGTTGATACACGTATGTTAAGTCACTGACTATGTTAATACTTTTATGTTAAGTCATTAACTGTGTTGATACACGTATGTTAAGTCACTGACTATAGTAGCTACTTGTATGTTAAACAACCGCATTGACTTTAACAGCAGACGCTCTAGCAAGTCATGGCATGTCATTTGAATACATGTAGTATTTATAAGAACAGCTTTCGGGAACTAGAATCGATTATACTTAATGTTGATTAGTGGAATGGTTATGATATCTGTGTTTACCAAACTAAAGACAATGTTTGTAAAAGGTTTAAAAAATTATAATAAAATAGGTTCATATTATGTGTAGTCATCAGTGTTTCTCCCAGGCATCTCATTGGGGGAGGGGGGTAGGGTATGTGCCTCCGAAACATGCCTACCGCCCCCCCCCCCCCCCGTGACGAATTAGAATTTAATTTATATAGACAATATATATCTACTTGTACCAGCGTCTGCCCCCTCCCCCCAGAAAATTCAGTCTGTCCCCCATCCAGGAAAGTGTCAAGTCCCAATCCCCACCCTGGAGAAAAAAATCTGAAAGAAATACAAATGGCCATGAATAATCTGATGTTCCTTCCATATCAACAATCATACATGTTTTGTTATATCATTATTCTTGTAGAAAAGACGATGCAATTCTTACAAGATGAACATCTTCTAGATACAACAGCTCCATATTTTAGCTTGTCTTTAATTCGTGACATGCTCAGTCTATTGTGGGGCGGTAGTCATCACAGTTCAGAATTTGCTTTGGTAACTATATATTATTCTACTGCTGACATACAACAATATTATAAAAGACACTATTATAATAAATTGAACAAAGTAATAAAGTGTAGTTTTAAAAATTTCTAAACAAAGACTCTATAAAAAATGAGCAGTTTTTATTTAGCAACTGGCTGAGAAGAACATCATCGTTATATTTACTGATTGTCTGACTTCCATCAAAGAAATGCAGGTAAAATAACTGATTGTCTTAACTGATTTTACTTTACTCTCCCTTGATTACTTACTTTTAAGCATAATCATTTAACATACATACATTTGTTTCAAAATACACTATTTAAAGTTAATGAATCGAATAATCAAAAACCATTCGTTTTTTTTTTCTTTACAGAATTCACATACTTTATTTATTACTAAAAACGTAATCGCTATTCTGCACAACATAGCCCGACGAGGAGAAGCGAAGAAATATTTTACAAATAACATTATATTCGAAGTAAGTTTATTTTTCGCGTTACAAAATACAAATATGGTGTCCTCATAGTGCTTGGCTTACCAGCCTTTCTCTTTAGACCAGTCTTACCATATAACATACCAGCCTCTCTCAACAGACTTACCTTACCATATAACATACCAGCCTCTCTGAACAAACTTATCTTACCATATAACATACCAGCCCATCCAATCAAAGTAGTCATTCTATACAAGTGTTCAGTCTCTCTTAACAGACCAATCCAATTTTTCAATAATTTAATGTGACAGATATTCAAGCACTGCACTACACCCTGATGCTACTATTGACTTCAAAGTCAATTAGACGATAGTTGACAATTGCAAAACTTAAGTCGCAACATCATTATCCCATTTCAAGCACCTGACCAGTTGTCCAAATGTTGGCTGTATGTTTGAAGCTGTTAATAACAAATACAATATAACATTATGTGATTACATAATATCAAGTTTGGTCTGAAATCCAAACACGTAGGCCTAAAACTAATCAAGGTAGTTTGCTTATTACTAAGCTAAAGTTTTAAATGTGTTAACCATTGCGGTATTCTTTTATTTATTCAATAAAACAGTTATTTCAATATTAGATCCATTAAATTTCAAAATTAATCCTTAATGCATTTACTTAAGCCAACTTAACATGAAAGATTGTGACTTGAGATATAATATGATTAGCCAGTGGCATAGCAAAGTCGGTTGTCACCCGTTGCGGTATAACCCCTCCCCCCCTTAAAAAATTATATATATATATATATATATATATATATATATATATATATATATATATATATATATATATACACTTGTATATATATTTTTTCAATCTTGCCTTTGTGTAACCCCCCCCCCCTCCTAGGGCTAGGGCTAGGGCTAGGGCTAGGGCTAGGGCTAGGGCTAGGGCTAGGACTAACGCTAGGAATAACGCTAGGATTAACGCTAGGACTAACGCTAGGACTAATGCTAAAACCAACGCTAAGACTAACGCTAGGACTAACGCTAGGACTAACGATAGGACTAACGATAGGGCTAGCGCATGCGCTAGGAATAGGGCTAGGGTAATTAAGTGAAAGTTTTAATACGAAATTTCATTGCCAAAAATAAAAATTTAACACCCCTTTAAGAAATGAGTCCTTGAATACTTATGCTGTCGGTGAGATGGTATGTAATTACATAAGTCTGTTTTACTTTTATATTTCTAAATGACAAATATTATGCATGTGTATCTTTTCCCCTAGCTATAGGCCTGATGATAGTTAAGTGGCACTTTTAACAATCTTTACGATTAAAATGATTGTAAAATACCTAAACATAGATTAAATGGATTACATAAATAATTTCATCAGGCTGTACTGAGCTTAAAAACCATGTACAAACAGACTCGGTTCACATCACACCTTTTACTTCTGCTAATAGAGGAGGAATGTGGAGCAGAAAAAGAGGCAATAGGTATTTAATTATTTTTTTTTAAAGTGTAATAATTAGATGAAAATAACTATATAAAAAGGCATAAAAAGTAATCCTATATTTATACAAATCAAATAAAACTACCAAAGGCTTTCTTATCCTTCCTTGGCGAAACAAAATTATTCTTTAAGTCACAAACTGCAATCGACACCCGAAGCATGTATTTCTAAAAAAAAAAAGTAAAGAAGGTCAATAATATATGCTGATAATATTCTGCTTTGCATACACATTCAAAGAAAAATATTACTAAGATATAGCTCTACATGTAACCAAAGTTATCATTATAATATAAATCCGTTTACAAAAGTAAATGATAATTAAACAATTTGAAACTTTAATTAACTATTTTATTTATTTGAAACATTACGTTTTAGATACATATTGAAATTCCATACGATGGGAAATAAGCACGTAAAATATAATGATTATAATTATATGTTTGGAAAGGCGGCATATTTTGGGTCTAATTTTATAAAACTGAAACTACTGGTCGGGGAAGACATGGAGAGCTTTTTTTTTTACTATCATGTAACAAGTTAAAAGTTAGCTAGAAATTAATAAATGTAGTCTTTCTGTGATATTGGCAGTGCCGTCTACGCCTCTACTACAAGGAAATGGGTAGGCTTCCATTTGGTTGTCGTTGGATTTTTTGCCCTGCCGTCTATACAAAGCCCGCTCCATATTTTCTTTTTGTGCCGAATATTTCACATTTAACAACTTACGGTCTATTTATCTTTGTGGTAAAACAAAAAGAGGTCTAATAATAGCCACAACTATTTCTACTTAAATATCATTTATTTATACCGCAAAACATGTATGTATATATTTCAGTTTCATGGCGCTTTTATTAAAAAGAGGTGTGATTTGTTTTTTTCATAAATTACTTTTTCATTGTTCTAAACAAGTGTGTATGTTGATTCATGTTACCTTCGTAGCACCTGCAGCTATCAACTAGCCGATATTCTATTGAAAAGAGAAGAATACAAATACAAATATCGTATAAATTATTAAAATTGTAGACAATAAATTACTTTAAAGTGAAGAGTTATTGAATTGGGCAAATGCGAGAGTGATTAGTGATCTCCTGACTACCACGCTCGCTCCAATGACAGAAACCTGGATGAATTTTTTTGCATGCCAGATGAGGACAGTCTGTTTTTTAAAAGTACTTACAAATTAAGTTTTAAAAATAAATATGGAGGCGTAATATAGAGGCAGTAATAACAAACAACACATACAATTATAAGTAATATTGATGTCAAGCTGATGTAATCAATGTAAATTGACGAATACGTGTTAATTAGGGCATGTGTTTATTAGAAATTACTAGGACATAAAATAAACATTACTGTATATTCTTAAATTAAATACCAATGGGGATAGCAACTCAACTACAACTGGGATGGAGGCATGCTTTCTTACATCAATTTTTAAAAAGAAGAATCAATTTTTAAAATAAAGTAGTATGCGTTTTTAAAAAATCGGAAATATCATGCAATTTTACTTCCGATTACCGGAAATGACTTAAGAAATTGAAACACGAGATTTAGATCTTTTACTTGTTGGTAAAAGTTCGTCTAAGAAAATATATACTCAAATTATTAGCTTTTTACGAAACCAAAAGTAGAAAAAATGTTACTTCGGGTAC